AAAAAAGAAAAAAAAGGAAAGAAGAGAAGATGGCAAGAAGATTGACCAATCAACAACAGCAAAGAAGATTGAATGAAAGAACTATCTTACAGCTTCCAGAACAGAAGTGCAAAGAGAAGATGGCAAGCGGCGTGGACTTGGACCTCCTAGTTTTCCTCTTATGGAACCTGGAAGAGTCATATCCTCTGCCACCACACCACACCAAAAGACAGAGCACGATAATTCGGCAAATGACATCAGTTTTTCCTGTCAGGCTCATAGAAAATAAAATTAAAAGGCAGCTAAAGAGATAAAGCTTTTGAATTACACATTCAATCCATACCAGCAATGAGAAGAATAATGTCACGAACTTGTCGGTAATGACTGACTCTTCAGTAAAACTTAAACTGACAACTTCATCAGGAACAAAGTCTCTATTCATTCTTCCTGACACATGAAATATAGCTGCTCTCTCATGGATAACGTGAAGTTCCTCAACCAAGCTGCAAACAAGAGAGAGAAATTTCACTCCCACCCTCTGTAAAGAGCTCTTCTCCTTGCAGACATCAGCACCATGATCCTCAATGAACTACATAAAAGGACTCACACGTGAATATCTAGAGATGTCATGAGAAGAACATGTAATGGCATCCTCACTCGAACTCTACTCAAATAATTTATCAAGGCAATGACATACGAACAAAATTTACACTAGACAACATGTTTACGTACTTCTTGATGATGGAAAATACTACTCATAGTTCCGGGTAAGCATACTAAACTACTAAGAAAGCGTTTGTTTTGAACTATATTGGTGGACTGATGGTATAATTAGACATTATACTAAATTATCAACAATTGAAGGAATGTGATCATATATTACTTTAACTCCAGAAAAGGAAAGTGACTGGTGATAGAAGAATTCCTAATAAGATCTACTTCCTTGTGGTGTCAATGTCTTTGAAACCCCAGATCCACTTTTGCGTATATAGTGACAAAGCCAAATTTCAAAATGAAAACCAACTGTTGGCCCTTGACTATTTATATACATATAGACAATAATAATGTTGACAACCAATATTAAACAAAGCTTTGACAAAGACAAAATGTGATGCATTAAAAAGAAAAAGTATGTCTTACTCCCTTTGTTCTCCCAATGGCAACTGAGATTAGTTTCATAAGAAATATATACCACAATGCTCCAAAGTAGAATTATAGTATAGTCTATAGTAATAAGAGATTCATTCTTAGTCTAACGCCGTACCGATAATAAATAGAAAAACTAGGTCCAAATGGATAGGTGATAAAGTAAAGAGCATAATATAATAAAAGAGAAAAGAAGCAGAATTTAAATGATAATTTGAGATAATATAACTCACAGGGAACTCGAAAAGAATTCTCATTAATAATGTTACCCAAGTGGCTTTTTATGCCTGCCTATCATTCGTCTGGATCACTTTTTCATATAATAATATGATATTCCTAATTCGAAGCCCCTACATTAGCCACTAACAAGCAAAAAACTTCCGAATCAAATATTTTCCCTAAGATCTCGCCAATCAATAGTTACCCCATCAACCTGTAAATCGATTATTCCTCAAATGACCTGATTACTAATTATATTATTTCCTAGCTCTATAAAAAATGATAAACAAAGTAAAAATATGGTAGCAGATACACAACACACACAAGCTTAACCACATTCAACCTTAAAGATTAAGCTAAAGTGCTCCCTGCCTTCAGCCACAAGAAAAAAAACTCGAGACCAACGTTTTGCTTCTGATACCCATGCATCTAGTTCTTCATCGTCCAATGTAAAAAGAGAATCCACTGAATCCCGATCACTGATAAAATCCCTCGGAAATCCATTTATAGCATTCATAATCTCAAGATTGGGACTGCGGAGCCACTTCTGAATTACACATCTCAGTGAGCCTTGAATAAAATGGAAGACCAAAAAAGATGGGTAACAGCAGGAATTAGAAATGCATCAATTTGTGTTCAACAACTACAAACATTAAAATTGTTTCGCCAAAAAAATAAAATAAAATAAAATAAAAATAAAAATGTTTCAAAAATCTTTGGGCCTAAATTGGGCAAAAATCATATTCTTAAACCATACCGCCAGGATCAGTGTGTTCGCGAGGCAGAGAACAAATGAAGTGCAAAATGATATTCAGAGGAATGTCAGCTCCACTCATCATAGAGGTCGCTGCAGACATAATCTTTTTGATAACTGAAACCAATAACAAGGTAAGAATAACATAGTTCAGCATTATCATCAGTTACGACTTCATGAATACGACAATCCAACTTAGTACCTTGGTGACGATATTTAGGGTTAAAATGTTGTTTACTGCACTCGATCACAAAACGTAGAACTTCCAATAAGTCGCTTCTTTGAACTTGACAAGAGTTTACCGCAGGTTCAACCACAACTCCAGTAGTGTCAACATCCATAATATGCTTAATGCCATTATTATTATGCTTTAGGGCTCCACAACCAGCAGAAGAAATGCACTCCACAAGGCACATCAGCCCAGCTCGTCCAAACGAATGCATTTTGGACACAGCAGCCAAATCAATCAAGAAGGCAATATGCTGCCTGTAGTCACATGGATGCTTCAGAAGACGCGTACTTTTAAGCTCTAAATTGTCAATATGTGCAGTATCATAATAATAACTGCCAGTTCAAAATGTTGCAGACTGCAGAGATCTGTCCAACTCTCAACTGATATATTCAGGAGGTAATATTTTCCATCAAGGACATCCACCCGATAAATACCTTCCTTCCAGAGAGAAGGTAATTTGCATTGAAAATTGCCATTTTAAATTCAAATTGGATCGAAATGGTCCGAACTCAAAATAAAGGTGGCAGCAAATTTGAATTCCAGTGAAAAGTACACGTATTACATTAGCCTTCATCATCTGACAGATTGCAGCAAGAAACTTTGCATGCACTGCCGCAATAATAAAAATGAGATAGTGGAAGCAAATTGGAATCATTGTAACCATTAACTAGGAAGGTCGGATTTTGGATATGACCCCAAGGTGCGAGTGAACTGTTCTAAAGGTGATCCCTTTCATATCAAGCAAATGGGATATCAGGAATACAATTCGGAGTTACAAAGAAGCTTTCAATAAACTTTGGTTTCTCTTTCAATAATCATCACATATTTAACTTGTTTTTGGGTGAAAAACATAATTATCTGTATTACATAATGTTCAGCAGCAAAAATGCAAGAGAACACTCGAAGAACTCTAAGAATTAAATGGAATTCGTGTGTACTGTCAAGGTCAAGTTACAGGATATGTTCTATTTATAGGTATAAGAAAGTGTGATCAGGACTTCTCATGAAAAGCAACACATGTTTGCACTGTGAGTTCATGTATTTCAAAGGTTTTCAACGAAAATATATGCATTCTTACATAAATAGCTTTAATAGAAATAGAGGACACTCATGGTAAAATTAATTGCTCCTACCCAAGGAAAAACATGAAATCTCACATCTCAAAGTGTTACGAAAAACGTTTGACATAAATTCTGGAAGAGGAATGAAAATGACTATAAATTCAAATTCAACCTAAGTGCCAAATGAAGCCAATTTTGAAAACTATATCACTCATATGAGTTTAGCAATGGATGAAATTATCTATATTTGGCCAAGGATGAATCTGAAGGTCATACAGAACTATTAAAATATGTAATCATATTAAATCGACTTTTCTGAAAAATTTTATCTGCACTGGTTCCTGTCAACAAGCATAACTTAGAAATCAACAATATTATTAAATCCACATCTCAGCTTGAAAAAACAACAGCAGTTACCTCCTATCCATGTAGTTGACATATTGGCACATTAATGCAGCTGCAGCCTCAATAGCTTTTGAAGAGTACACTTCTTTCACACCTATGGGAGGAAAAACGAGATGAGTTGTTTTGATAGAGACCTGACTTAACTCTAAGCTTTCTGCAAAAGAATAAAACCAACCAAATTCTTTGTGGTGCACAGGATCATTTAATCCTAGTATGAGGGGACCAAGTATGAAATCTTTTGGCACAAATTTTACACAGCCTTCAGAGTGCTCCCACTCAAATGCCAAAAATGATTGCATGATATGGCACCTTACTGGAATACATAAATAAAATATCAATATCCCAGAGAGAACATTACCCATACATACCAAAATAGACAACATAATGAAGACTTAAGTCCACTGGAGTATAATGAATAAATGACCTTGAGGATTATCATGGCAAAAGCCACGTTGCCATAAGATTGTTAACCACTCAAAAGTTTGTTCGGCAGTTGCCATCCGGTTATGATAGAGCTCTTCATTATTAGAGATCACAGAGTTCTTGAGAGACCGAAGCCAAAGCATAATCTACCAAAGACAGATAAAATGATGCTATATAGATAATAACTACCATCCTACTAAGTGAAAGATAACAAACCAACACCATGAAATATGAATGATATCATAATCACAACCAGAGTTTTTGCACATAATCACAGGCACCTTTGAAGGAGAAGCATTACAAATTGGTCAATTCAGCAACATAAAGAAAGGGAGACCACATGATCCACGTCGTCGCAGACAAATGTGAAGTGTGAACAATCATGAATATAACTTGAAAGATGACTCGACTCATGTCTTCATACACAAATTAGCATACTCAATCTCAATCTGGGAAATTTTTATTCGCTTGCATAGATTTTTTAAGCCCACTGACAACTAAGGGCATGGGAATCCGCACTTGAGTTTATGATGCATATCCTATCTGCAGCAAACCTCATAGTATGCATGAAATAAACTTGGAAAACATCACCACACATATGCGCCACTTCTACACCAACAGAAGTTCTTCCGTCATACATGGTTTCCATTTTCTACCCCTATTCAGCTAAAGGGAAGTAACAAAGAAAACAGTAGCTAAATTATATTCTATGCCACACGCATTAATACCGTGGACATGCAAATTTGGGGGTGAGCTTACCTGGTGATTCCAAGCTGCCTCAACCAAATGGGAACCATACTCTTCAAGAATTTCATATAGAAAAACAAATGCCTCCCACCTGTACCAGCCAGTGAAACTTGAATCATGGTCTTGGCACATTTGTCCAACACCTAACGACCGGGCTTCTTTGTCTGCCCATCTTTTCCTTTTGCTAATCATGCGAGAGTCTGAATCTTTCTTTTCTGCTACTTCCTCCAACACACAAGAGTTTGATCTCCTATCATTGCTCAAGTTTAAAGTTTTTTTCAAAATATGCAATGACTGCTTCCTGATTAAGCTCTCTTCATCAACCTTAAAGGTATACAAAGCATGTATGACGTTACCATAGAAGAATGTATCCAACAGTAGATGAAGATCAATTAATAGGATTCATTATTAAAATATTCAGATGAGGACAGATAAATATTACCAAGCCTCTCTTAATTTCATCCCAAAATTTGTGATCAGCTCTTACATCAAATGTTTCTACTCTTCCACCACTATTTACATCTTCAGATTCATTAGTTGGTGCCGAAAAGCATAAATAAAGAGAAAGAACATTATACGCGTCGGTTCTCTCCAGAGACCCCATGGAAAATAGCAACTTACAAAACTTCCACAATTTCATGAAAAAAACATTCCTGTTAAACAATATTTTGTCCTGTTAAAGTCCAGCGTATTAAGAAAGACTAGCTAAAATACTTTCAAGGAGACAAGCATATACACCTGGTTAATAGATGAGGCGCCCCAGAAACTGTCACCTTAAAGCTATAGCTCTGTGCCAATGCTTTAAATATAACTGGAAGAAGAAATCTGATCGCATATGATCGATGCTCCAAACTTTGAGAAAGCATTTGAAGAGTCATATTAGAAAGATCCCAGAGTAAATTTCCAGCAAAAACTTCCGTCATGCATCCATGTGATGAAGTAACTAATCCTTTGTGTTCATGTTGAAGAGTAGCATCCAACAACAAATTTAAGATGTTACAAGATATACAAATTGGAAAATCAGAAAAGCAAGATTCTAAATAATCTTCTGATATTAACTCTTCAGTCAAGTTATCATGAAAATCATCAGACGAATTCAAGATAACTTCCTCGTCCATGGGACCCTTAGAAATTGAATGTTCACTCCATTTATATATCGTCAACTCCTTGCTTTGAGACATTTCCATCGATAGGCCTATTGATCGCAACAGTAGAGGCACTAATGTTGCTTCAAGAACTTGCCACCTGTTTGTTTCGGTCACAAAATCGAGGAATAAACGGGAAACCTAAAAGCAACCAAAGATAAAAGAAATAAGATTAAAGATGAAAAGCTTCAGAGAACAAAATCAGCATAGTACGGCTAAGGATAGAAGCTAAACGCAATACCTTGTTAAATAGCTCCCGATCATCTGTATGCACAAACTTCAACAAAGGAATCCATATTTTCCAGACAAACATATTGATGTGATTTGCACCTGCAGATGCATGTTTTGATCAACAATCAAACAATAGCACTAAGCCCTACTTGTCTACAAACAGTATAAGAACTAGATTAGAAAATAAAAGCAAATTCCTATACTCAAAAATGTTTTAAATTTTTCCTCCCCTCCCATCCAGATCAGCTAAGTGATGAAGCCTTTAGATAATAACAGGTGGCGGCGGCCCCTCAAGTAAACTTCAAAAGTATCAGCGTTCGCATTCTAAGTGTACTCTAGAAGCCATACTAAATTTAGACACTGAACATTATTATTCTTGGAATATATCTACATTCACCAAAATTAATTTAATCAAAATTATACCAAGAGATTAGACTAAATTTCAATGATAGGCATTGGATATACATGTCCGGTATTCTACATAACCACAAACTTACCAGACTTCTTTAGTAAGTGGCAAAGGGCAGCCACATAGGCTGCAACATAGTCATCCCACTCAGTCCCCAATTTTCCTCTTTCGTGCACAAGATCCTGTAGAATAGCATATCAACATCACACACCAAATCTAATGCAATTGCCACTTCATGAAAAAAGTACACTTCCAGAAAATAATAATTATATAAATGTACATGAACCTTAGATTATTTCACGAAAAAATGTACTTTCTGACAGGATAGAGCAAAAACACTCATATAGATAATGATTAGAACTTTAAAATAGATAGAGTTGAATTCTCCCTTAATCATTAAGAATATAAAATTACAGAATATAGATTGAGTGACTTCGTTACAGGATAAATTAACCTAATGGAAGAAAACATAGCTAAAAGTTGGTGCAGTAATGTGAAAAAATCGTTGTGATTTAATTATTCAAAGTCCAAACAACCCTAAAAAGCTCATGATTAAGAAATTGAGATCCATTGCCCCAGCTTATATCTCAAACACAACCACAAATAGAAGTCACTCACATTTTTATCTCGTATTGGGCCATAACTCTTCCTACTATATGTTATTACAATGGTCAATAAAACACAACAACATGCAAAATTGCAAAGGCAGTCACATATAACAACTTTGGAGACAAATGAGTCACAGAAGGTCGAAAGACCTATTATCAACAGACAAATTATGGTTCTCGATTATTTTCATCCTCCATAACCCAGATTATCTATTGTCAATTTTATTTAAAATTGTTTGACATGTGTGACATTAGCCCTCTCTGAAATCAAATAATTTAACAAACTGTTAATCCGACATACCCAGTATATTCCCAACAGGTTGGGGTCTGGGGGGTCAGTTGTAGGCAGACCTTACCCTTGTAATTATACAAGGAGGTTGTTTCCGTAGCGACCCAAGAATTAAAAAACTGTTAATATCAAGCACAAAATATTTTCGCCAAAAAAATGACGGGGAAGCGGGCAGAGCTTGGATAAGCAGCTTATAACCCAACTCTAGATCATTTCCTAAATCATATTCATATACCTTAGCTAATACGAAAGCGGATACTATCAGTGCCAATTCCACAATTAAAAACTATCCTAATAGATAGTGAGGAACTAGGATATGTTCTTTTTCCTTTTAACAGGTCCTGTAAAAAACGCACCAACATGAATTCGAACCCCTAAACTCTACCACCTGGGCTATACCTTCATGGTGTAGATAACTAAAAGTCCAGACTACTTGGCTAGAACTAATCTTCCGTCAAGATTCCATTGAAGTGTCAAGCTCTCAAATATGAAAAATGTATTCATACCTTGGTGAGGCTGGGAAATTGTTTGAGAAGGTCGGAGAACAGTGAGGTTGGAGATGCGGCGGTGGAAAACAGTATACAGTCCAACATTGGCGGGATAGCCGCCGGAGAGACCCGCCGGAAACTGCTCTGCAGAGAAGTGACGATAGGGTCCATTTCACTGCGGCTGTCGAGGTGCTCGGTAGTGCAACTGTTTAACTTCATAAATAAGCCAAGAAGGGTCTTTTTATGACGAAAACGGGTCAAATTTAGTTATTTTGATAAATTAGGGCTAGGGTTATGTACTAAATTAGTACTAGTTACACATTGTATTTGTTAAGAAAATTATTTTTGATATTAAATGATAATAAAAATAAAAATTGTTTAAAATTAAACATATATTATATTAGGCTAATTTGAGGTTTTCATGGAAATTAACGAGTCGATTGATAGCTTCCAAAACAAATCAAGGTTATATTAGTGAATCATTATCATTACTAAATACTAAATGTTCCGATACAACTTAAGGGTTATATTAGCAAATCTATTATGGAATTACCAAGTTAGTTTTTCAATATTTGAATGTCCGAACCTAAAATTATTGATTTAGAATAATATTATTTTTTATTCAAACCTAACTACGAAGCATGTTTTTTCGCCAATTAGAATTCCAAAGCATGAGAGGCTGCCACTTAGGCTCGATGCATTCTGCAATTATATATAGGGGTAATGAGTCCCGTGCAGTGCACGAGTAAGAGATATTCAGTAATATTTATAAAATAAAAATTATTATTGAATAATCTATATAAATTAAAAATATGGAATTAATATGTAACATAATAATCTATACTAATTTATTAAAAATGTTATAGAAAGTTTAAATTGTACAAAATTACATAAAAATATCTATTTGAAATTAGTACACAACCCGTGTGGTACGCATAACTGATAATAAATAACATTATATTCTAATATATTACATTATATTCATTTTAAAATAAGTATCATTTCAAAAAATTTATTCAGAAATTTGATTTGACTATAAATTTATTTCATATAATAGTTATATTGGTAAAATGTTATCATATATTTAACATCTTATGTGAATAATAAGTATAAATATAAAACTTATATTGTTTCATTACTTAAAATAATTACTTTTGCATAAATTATTCAAATCAACAAAATTAAATAGTTGAGTAATTTACTAAAACTATAAATAATTGATTATTTCATTTACGTCTAACTTAATATTGACACGTAAGTTATTGGCTAATTTAATAAAATATAAATAATTGACTATTTGGTTTACGTCCAAAATAATATTGACTCGTAAGTTGTTAATAATTATTTTTTATTTTATATTTTGAATAACTTTTTTTTATTTTTTTCAATATATTATATAAGAAATTTAAACCATGCAACTAATAAAGGTAATAACTGAAATTTTTTCAATATATTATATTCTAAATTTAAATCATGCAACTAATAAATGTAATAGCCGCAATATTTGACATAAATGATTATGTACATTAATTACATTAATTTGGCGGAATTTTTCAAATTTTGGCCAAAAAAAATTAACTAATTCAGTAAATCTGAATTTTTAGGTGGGAACCAAATATTTTTTTACTAACTTTTAGTTGCTATTTCAAATAAATACCATTATATCTTTATAAATTAATATATATTAGTAGTAATAATAACTAGTACGGTTACATGTGCAAATGCACGAAACTTATAAAAAAAAACTTAATATTACAAGATAAATTATAATTAATACAAAAGAAATTGAATTTTCTGGTATCAAAATGGTCTGATTTCGAATAATAAGGTTACGTTTTCTTTATTTTTGTACTATTATCGGTATCGAACCGTTTAAACGATGTCGGTATCAGTTTTGAATATTTTCGTCACATATAACATATCTGTACCATTTAATTACTTTGTACAAATACTATACATATTTATTGTATGAAATTACCCTCGATCGACTGGATTTGAGTTGATCTACCTCCTGCGCCGATTGATGACCTTCAATACTTGCAAAAATTCGACACCGGGGGTATTTCGGTGAAGAGTCTCAAATGCTTAATTTAGCAAGATATAGAAGAAGATGAACATTATGTAAGTGTAGAGAGTGTGTAATATAATATTGTCATATCTCACTCACTTATATAAAGAGATGATACCTTGTTGCCAAAAACAACCTGAATGGACTGCCCAAAGTACCCGAACAGCGCGTTCTTACTACCCGAACTGCCCAATTGTGTTATGCCACGTGGTCCAATCCACGTGTGGCTTTTATCTTCATAATATTCCCTCTTATCTCTTAGTCTTCTTTATCAAATGGTCAAACTTTCTAACTCATCCGACTTATTTTGAGGTAGACTACTATCTTAAATGAGCTCACGCTACATTCACTAGGTAGACCAGTCGACCTATAAAGATCATCAAGTCAAGCTCCTCGCGAATCTTCCGGGGCCGTTAACTATGTCTGGTGGTATACTACAACTAAACTAAGTGACCTAATTTAATATCTAAAAAATCTCATATAAAAAAGTACCTGAGTGAATTAAGTGGTGACTAGAGGTCTGACGCGAGCCAGGTCGGCATTGGCGGCGAGTCAAGTACAAAAGAAGAAATGTCGCTAGTATGCGTTCTGTTTCTGTTAGACTTTGGAGTTTTGAGTTCTGTCCAAACAAAATCAACTATTTTCTAAGCTTTGAACTAATACAAAAAAACATCGTGTTGTCGTTTCGTATTA